GTTTTTACAGGGGATTAGCCTCGCCACTAATGTTGACAGTCATGAAGGATGTAGATCTTGTGAGGGGCACTTCTTGTTATATGTTTTGACATAGTTTTCTGACTATGGTTATACTGTTTTTGGTGAGATTGTAACTTCATATGACATCAGAAGGTGGGGAGTGTCACCCTTTTTCTTGTGTTTGATAGGTGGATAGTACTATATATATATATCTTTTTGTGTAACTATATACACATGCCTGATGAAGGGATGCTGTGTGGCTCTGAAACATTGCAGCTTTCCTTTTGTGATGTGATCATTCTTTAATAAAAATAGCTTTCAGACAACATTGGTGATCCATGATGTGCTGGCAAACATGAACGCCGTTTACTACGACTGGCAGTCACAGCGGTCACATGATGGGAGAACACCTGATCACAAGGTATGCATTGGGAGCTTTCCGATACCCACTGGTTACTGTGCTGAGAGCACACAAGGAGCACGCTCTCAGCACAGTAAAGTGTTAACCTAGGGAGGCTTATACACGCTAAAGCTCACCTGTAGAGAGGCCACATAAATGCGTACGGCTGCCGAGAAGTGGTTATATAAGTCTTACTGGTGTGTTAAAGTATTTGTCCAGCCAAAACCATTTTTTTGTTTCAAATAGAGTCAGCATGAATTAGAACCACTGTAAGGTTTTGCTGCTATCTTGAGCTCTTGAGATTACATTCCCTGTGACAACAGGTTTACCAAAAAGAAAAGTCTCCAAATGCATCACAAACAGAAATAAAAATACATTTTTACTAGAGTAGGGGACAGTTACAACCCCAGTAATCTATTATTGTTGTCTGTGTCCCTGTCACAGAATTCCTAACTGGTAAAACTGGAGCAGTAGATTCAGGAAGATCTATGTAATGCAGTTTCAAATAGCAGTAAAATCTGGCAAAGGTTTTAATCATTACCCACTCTATTCAAAACAAATAAAAAAAACAGTGCTGTTGCACTTTAAATGGCAATTGCACGATTATGCAACACTGTACACATATTAATTTTTTATAATTTGTTTTCACACAAATAGAGATCTCTTTGTGGGTATTTAATCACCACTGTGTTTTTTTATGTTTTGTGCTATAAACAAAAAAAAAACAAACATTTTGAAAACAAATTGCGTTTTTCTTCGTTTCTGTTATAACATCTTACAAATAAATAATCTTTCTACACAAATTTAGGCCAATATGTATTCTGCTACATGTCTTTGGTGAAAATAACCCACATCAGTGTTTATTATTTAGTTGGTAGGAAAGTTATAGAGTGCACAAACTATGGTATATATCTAAAAATTGGTAAATCTTGATGTCCTGACTGCTGATCTCATTTCTTGAGCCCCAAAAACACCAGAACAGTACAAATACCTCCAAAATGACAGATTTTCAGAAAGTAGACAGTCAGAGGTACTTAGTAATAGGCATGGCGAGTTTTTTGAAGTTGTCAGTTTTTGTCATAATTTTGTGGAATATGAAGATATTGAAAACATTTTTTTTACTTTTTTTCCATACTGTCACCAAGGCAGTACGTCATCATCATATAACTGGAGTGGAGGTGATCAGGGACACTGACTAGCGACAATATGTAATTAAAAAATAAATAATTTTGATTTTTTTTTTAATTTTTATTAATTTTTATTTCTATTCCTGTGACCAGAGCAATACAATGTTACCATAATAATGTTGTACTACTCTGGGCAAGTGATAAGGATTTTTGTTTTTTTTTTTACAGATTATAATTGCTTATACCAACAAATTACATTATTATTATTATTATACAGGATTTATATAGCGCCAACAGTTTGCTCAGCACTTTACCATATAAAGGGAGACAATACAGCAACGATACAGTTCAGTACAAAAGTGTTAGGAGGGTCCTGCTCCTTGGAGCTTACAATCTAAGAGGAAAGGGCTAGCGGTGAAAAAGGTAAAAACTGATAGGAGAAATAGAAGATTCAGTTATTAGCTGAATGCAGGATAGGCTTCCCTGAACAGATAGAGTTTCAGAGATCGCCTAAAAGTGGGCAAAGTAGGCAATAGTCTGACAGACTGGGGTAGAGAGTTCCAGAAGATGGGGGAAGCTCTGTAGAAGTCCTGGAGACAAGCAAGGAAGGAGGAGACAAGGGAGCTAGAGAGCAGGAGGTTGCGAGAGGAGCTGGTGATGTAATTGGGGGCAGTTGTAAATAGCTTTATATGTTATTGTTAATATGTTGAATTTAATTGGTTAGGCAATGGAAAGCCAGTGGAGGGATTAGCAGAGAGGGATGGCAGACATGGAATGGTTGGTAAGGTGGACGACTTTGGTGGAACCATTCACGATAGATGGAAAAGGGGATAGCCTGTGATTAGGTAGGCCATTGAGGAGGGAGTTACAATAGTCAAGGCGAGAGATAACAAGGGAGTGAATAAGTTGCTTAGTGGTGTCGGTGGTTAAAAACAAGCGTATCTTGGAGCTGTTACGGAGGTGAAGTCTACAAGATTTGGACAGTGATTGGATTTGGGGCTGAAAGGCCAGATGGGAGTCCAGGATTACACATAGTACCCTGGCATGAGGGGAGGGGCTGATGGTTGTATTATTGATCTTGATGGAGAAGTCAGGGGAGGGGGCATGGGCTGGAGGGAATATTATGAGCTCAGTTTTAGAAAGAGCTGAGTTTGAGGAAGTGGTGTGACATCCATGCTGATATGTCAGTTAGTAGGTTAGTAATGTGGGAGGAGACTGAAGAGGTGAGATGAGGAGTAGAAAGATAGATTTTTATGTCATCAGCACAGAGATGGTACTTGAATCCATGGGAGTTTTTTAAATGACCAAGGGAGGAGGTGTAGATAAAGAAGAGAAGGGGTCCAAAGACAAAACCTTGAGGGACCCCTAGAGAAAGAAGAAGCGAGAGGAGGAGACAGAGTTATAGATAACACTGAAGGAGCACTGTGATAGGTAGGAGGAGAACCTGGGTAGAGAAGAGTCTTGGAGGCCAAGAGAGTGGAGTTTTTTGAGGAGGAGGGGGTGGTCGACAGTATCAAAAGCTGCAGAGAGGTCAAGTAGTAAGAGTATGGAATAGTGGCCATTGCTTTTAATTGTTAGTGAGTTTTAGTAGGGCAATTTCAGTGGAGTGTAGAGAGCAAAAGCCAGTCTGTAAAGGGTCAATAAGATTGTTGTCAGTGAGGTAGAAGCTGAAACAATTGTAGACTAGACATTCTAAGAGTTTAAAGGTAAATGGAAGCGGGGAGATGGGTCTCAAGTTGTTCAGGTTGGTGGGGTCCAATGAGGGCTTTTTAAGTATGGGAGTGATCTGTGTGTACTTTAGAGGGGGGGGGTGCCAGTAGAGAGCAAGGTCAAAAGAGGAAAGTGTTGAGGGAGGTTTTAGTATAAGATATGCTAAGTGGGATAGATTTCTCTGCAGTGGAGATGCCCTCACGAATTGCATCAATCTTGTTTTTGAAATGATTGGCAATCTCATAAGCAGTAAGTGAGTTACTGGTTGGAGGTGGCGGTTGGAGTTAAAAGTAGAGAAGAGATGATGGCAAGGTATTAATAAGAGTGACAAAGTAGGCTTGTTTGGCAACATGGAGGGAGGAATTGTATTTTAAGAAAGCAGATTTATACAGGTTGAATGATTTGGTTTTACACTGCAGTCACTCCAGTGCACGGCTATGTCTCTTAAGGTTTCTTGTGTCGTCGGTCGGGTCCTAATACTTTGTGTAGTTAGAGGAGCAAGTGACTCTAGTGTGGATGAAAGTGAACTGTTTTAGACAGAAATGGCCAGCTCATGGCAGGACAGGGGAGAGATTTTGTCATAGAGGTGGTCAGTTGCAGAGTAGAAACTAGAAGAGTTAAAAATGTGAAGGTTTCTGCGGGTAATTGTTTGCTGCTTGGAAGGATAGGTGTTTGAAGACGAGGACACTTTGAAGGTGATGAGAATGTGATCAGAGAGAGGAAAGGGGTTATTGGTGAGGTTGCAGGGAATGCAAAGTTTGCAGAAAATGGGTATTCCCATCAGTGATTGGAGGACTGTGTCCATTGTGTTAGGTCAAAAGATGAGGTTAGGTTGAAGAGTTAGGATGTAGCTAGGTTGTTATCATTAATGGGGATGTTAAAATCATCAAGAATGATAGTGGGTATTTCAGAGAAGAGAAAGTAGGGTAGCCAGGCAGAGAAGTCATCAAGAAAGTGCGACACCGGTCCAAGAGGCTGATAGATCACTGCAATCCTCAGAGAAATGGGAAAAAACAGCTGAATACAGTGAGTCTCAAAGGAAGAGAAGGATAGAGAAGGAGGGGTAGGGAAGACTTGAAAGGTGCTCAGTGGTGAAAGAAGAAAAATCAACTCCACCTCCTTTCTGACCACTGGGTCTGGGCGAGTAAGTTCAATAGAGGCCTCCATGGGAAAGTACTGCGGGAGAAGCAAAATCTGCTGCTTGAAGCCAGGTTTCTGTAATTGCTAGTAGGTTAATGGAGTGGGAGACAAGCATTTTTGCTGAATGAAACTGATCCATTCAGTAGTTTTTGTTGTGATCATCTATGATTGGCCATAGCTGATCACATGCCACAGATGGGCTGTGAATGGCCCAGTCTGTACATGTGATCATCGTGACCAATCACAAATCACAGCACAGTTGTAAGCAGTGAATGGCATGTAAGGAAGCCATTCATTGTGTACAACTGTCATGTGATCTGCTGTGATTGGTCACAGTGCTCACATAACACTGGCAGTGGACTGGTGTAGTGATCTTTCATCGACCACGGCCCGTGACAGATTGTGCCGAAACACAGCCAATGGGGCACGTGCAAGGGGTGATCCTTAGAGGATGTCATATGATGTCCTCCCAGAATAATAGGGTACCCGCTCGGCTGTCATTGTACAACAGGCCGGGCGGGAAGGGGTTAAAATTAACTCCTGAATGCAAACTATAGAAAATCTAAATGACAGAGTAAAAAAATAATAGTAATATAATAATTGTAATGAAGCACACAACAAACCTTGCATTCAGAATTTTCCATTTATCCCTGAAGAATTTCCATGCTGAATCTCTTCCATGTGGATTTCTTGCTACATGAATTATAACATCAATAGCATCTTGATCCAATACCACTTCTGAATTCAGTGACAAGTTGAGAAGCCTTAAAAGCAATTATATTATAAAGAATATTTATTGTACTGGCGACATAAATGCTTATGCAATAGTTTTTCTATATTTTTCTATATCAATATAGACAAAAAAAGTTTGTTTTCTTTCTTCAGGGCATACAAATGTTTAAACTGCTCTGGAGAGTTGTTATTATCTCTGGTACACTTTAAAATGATCTTTCAAAAGAATTTCTGACTTACAGTTTGCTTTGATAAAATAAAACAATACTAACCACTGTCAAATGGAAGAATTGGACTTTAATATGTTTAACCCTTTTGCTGTTGGTGACTAAACTTTTACTGTGGCATGTGAGTAAACCCCCAGCTGCTATAGTTTTGTATACATTTTCAATCCTGCTGTCAGTTAGAAGTGGTTCAAGCAGCTGTCAAGCCACCTTATCACTTCTACATGTAAAATAAGGTACCAACCTTCGCCTGATCAACCCCCCATCATGTGTACCAGACTCAATGATTAAACAAAGTTCACTTTAAAAAATTACATTTTTTTAAAGCCCCCTCTCCCATGACCATGCATATACAATCCTAACCACAGCATGTACCAATGCACATGCAATAGAAACAATATTTTCAGGGCCATCTTTACCTCTAAACTGATGTTATGTAAAGGCTTCAAAGCATCACCTATGGAGAATGTGGGGTGCCATAGTTTTTTTGCCATATCAGGGGCACACAATTTTCAGGCTTGACACATTTATTATATAATTTATTCTCATCTTATATATTATATTTAGAGATGAGCGAATCGAACTTGGCGAAGTGGAATTCGTTTCGAAGATTAGGAAAAATTCGCCGAATCCGAAAATTAGCAGACTTCGGATGCGCGAATCGAAATTTTCCAAAAATGGGCGGCGACACGTGTGGCGACGGAGCGGGGATCTCTGGGAAGGCGCGCAGACAAGGCGCGCTGACCCATAATGCATTCATTCATGACATGTGATCGCATTAGCCAATCAGCAGCCAGCCAGCCAGCACTGTGTAATGGTCGAGCTATAAATTGCGGCCATCTTTGAATTCTCCATTAGCCTCCGGTCATTCAAGAGTATTAGGGACAGAGTTAGGGCCAAAGAGACTTTAGGGCCACAGAATCGTTACTTAGGGACACAGAATTCTTACTCAGGGACACAGAATTCTTACTCAGGGACACAGAATTGTTACTCAGGGACAGACACAGAATTGTTACTGAGGGACACAGAATTGTTACTGAGGGACACAGAATTGTTACTGAGGGACACAGAATTGTTACTCAGGGACACAGAAACTGTTACTCAGGGACACAGAATTGTTACTCAAGGACACAGAACTGTTACTCAGGGACACAGAATTGTTACTCAAAGACAGACACAGAATTGTTACTGAGGGACACAGAATTGTTACTGAGGGACACAGAATTGTTACTCAGGGACAGACACAGAATTGTTACTGAGGGACACAGAATTGTTACTCAGGGACACAGAATTGTTACTCAGGGAAACAGAATTGTTACTCAGGGACACAGAATTGTTACTCAGGGACACAGAACTGTTACTCAGGGACACAGAACTGTTACTCAGGGACACAGAATTGTTACTCAGGGACAGACACAGAATTGTTACTGAGGGACACAGAATTGTTACTGAGGGACACAGAATTGTTACTGAGGGACACAGAATTGTTACTCAGGGACAGACACAGAATTGTTACTGAGGGACACAGAATTGTTACTCAGGGACACAGAATTGTTACTGAGGGACACAGAATTGTTACTCAGGGACACAGAATTGTTACTCAGGGACACAGAACTGTTACTCAGGGACACAGAATTGTTACTCAGGGACACAGAACTGTTACTCAGGGACACAGAATTGTTACTCAGGGACAGACACAGAATTGTTACTGAGGGACACAGAATTGTTACTGAGGGACACAGAATTGTTACTGAGGGACACAGAATTGTTACTCAGGGACAGACACAGAATTTTTACTGAGGGACACAGAATTGTTACTGAGGGACACAGAATTGTTACTCAGGGACAGACACAGAATTGTTACTCAGGGACAGACACAGAATTGTTACTGAGGGACACAGAATTGTTACTGAGGGACACAGAATTGTTACTCAGGGACACAGAACTGTTACTCAGGGACACAGAATTGTTACTCAGGGACACAGAACTGTTACTCAGGGACACAGAATTGTTACTGAGGGACAGACAGAATTGTTACTGAGGGACACAGAATTGTTACTGAGGGACACCGAATTGTTACTCAGGGACACAGAATTGTTACTCAGGGACACAGATCTGTTACTCAGGGACACAGAATTGTTACTGAGGGACACAGAATTGTTACTGAGGGACACAGAATTGTTACTGAGGGACACAGAATTGTTACTCAGGGACACACACAGAATTGTTACTGAGGGACACAGAATTGTTACTCAGGGACACAGAATTGTTACTCAGGGACACAGAACTGTTACTCAGGGACACAGAATTGTTACTCAGGGACAGACACAGAATTGTTACTGAGGGACACAGAAATGTTACTGAGGGACACAGAATTGTTACTCAGGGACACAGAATTGTTACTGAGGGACACAGAATTGTTACTCAGGGACACAGAATTGTTACTCAGGGACACAGAATTGTTACTCAGGGACACCGAACTGTTACTCAGGGACACAGAATTGTTACTCAGGGACAGACACATAATTGTTACTGAGGGACACAGAATTGTTACTGAGGGACACAGAATTGTTACTCAGGGCCACAGAATTGTTACTCAGGGACACAGAACTGTTACTCAGGGACACAGAATTGTTACTCAGGGACACAGAACTGTTACTCAGGGACACAGAATTGTTACTGAGGGACAGACAGAATTGTTACTGAGGGACACAGAATTGTTACTGAGGGACACCGAATTGTTACTCAGGGACACAGAATTGTTACTCAGGGACACAGATCTGTTACTCAGGGACACAGAATTGTTACTGAGGGACACAGAATTGTTACTGAGGGACACAGAATTGTTACTGAGGGACACAGAATTGTTACTGAGGGACACACACACAGAATTGTTACTGAGGGACACAGAATTGTTACTCAGGGACACAGAATTGTTACTCAGGGACACAGAAACTGTTACTCAGGGACACAGAATTGTTACTCAGGACAGACACAGAATTGTTACTGAGGGACACAGAATTGTTACTGAGGGACACAGAATTGTTACTGAGGACACACACAGAATTGTTACTGAGGGACACACACAGAATTGTTACTGAGGGACACAGAATTGTTACTCAGGGACACAGAATTGTTACTCAGGACACAGAACTGTTACTCAGGGACACAGAATTGTTACTCAGGGGACAGACACAGAATTGTTACTGAGGGACACAGAATTGTTACTGAGGGACACAGAATTGTTACTCAGGGACACAGAATTGTTACTGAGGGGGACACAGAATTGTTACTCAGGGACACAGAATTGTTACTCAGGGACACCGAACTGTTACTCAGGGACACAGAATTGTTACTCAGGGACAGACACATAATTGTTACTGAGGGACACAGAATTGTTACTCAGGGACACAGAATTGTTACTCAGGGACACAGAACTGTTACTCAGGGACACAGAATTGTTACTCAGGGACACAGAAACTGTTACTCAGGGACACAGAATTGTTAATCAGGACAGACACAGAAATTGTTACTGAGGGACACAGAATTGTTACTGAGGGACACAGAATTGTTAATCAGGGAAACAGAATTGTTACTCAGGGACACAGAATTGTTACTCAGGGAAACAGAATTGTTACTCAGGGACACAGAACTGTTACTCAGGGACACAGAATTGTTACTCAGGGACACAGAACTGTTACTCAGGGACACAGAATTGTTACTGAGGGACAGACACAGAATTGTTACTGAGGGACACAGAAAATTTTTACTGAGGGACACAGAATTGTTACTGAGGGACACAGAATTGTTACTCAGGGACACAGAATTGTTACTCAGGGACACAGAACTGTTACTCAGGGACACAGAATTGTTACTCAGGGACAACAGAACTGTTACTCAGGGACACAGAATTGTTACTCAGGGACAGACACAGAATTGTTACTGAGGACACAGAATTGTTACTGAGGGACACAGAATTGTTACTGAGGGACACAGAATTGTTACTCAGGGACAGACACAGAATTGTTACTGAGGGACACAGAATTGTTACTCAGGGACAGACACAGAATTGTTACTCAGGGACACAGAATCGTTACTCAGGGACACAGAAATCGTTGAATTAAAGAGTATGTCAGACAACACGCAGAGAGTGGCAGAGGAGGCAATGTTTCAGGAGCGAGCAGACGTGGCAGCAGAGGAAGGGGTCGAGGCAGCACTAGTCGCAGCCAGAGGCCAGTGCTCCCGGTGTCATCCAGCGGTTGTGTCTCCACCGACAACCCTGCCGCCATCGATTGGTTGGCTCGGTCGTCTTCCTCTTCCCAGGTCACCTCTGACACCTACAGCCAACGGTCGGTGGGTACGTCAGACACAACCGTTAGTTGGCATGGCCCGGGAGCAAGCCCACTGAAATCACGTGTCCTCTACCTGCCCCTGTCCTTTGGTGTTCCCTCACCAAGCGAAGTATCGCATGCTGTGGGCTCAGCTCCACTGTACAGTGAGGAAGAGCTAACAGAGGGCGGTCAGAAAGGGGGGAGACATCCGCCTCTTCAGCAGCCAGGCGAAGAAGTACTGGCGAGGAGAGTGGCTCGGTAGCCGGTCTAGAGACAGGTCTGTCTCCTGACCCACACGCAGCCGAGGGGGCTAGTAGTGAGGGCGGAGACCCTAATTGATGATGATGAGGCTGATCGCATCATCAGGAGAAGAGGGTGCTCCCAGTTGGGCAGCGAGCAAAACAGTCGGTGGGTTGCCCAGGAGGCAGCAGGGTCGCAGCAGTGTCAGTGGAGGCAAAACGGCCACTGGAGTAAGAGCAACCACTCCACTGCAGCCTATCCACCATGGCCAGTAGTGAGTGCCGGTGTGCATGGAGGAAGTAGCAGTCAGCCAGTGAGGGGTAGCGGGGGCAAAGTTTCATACTCGCGTGTGGCCAATTTTTTTCGTCAAGCCGCCCAGGAAGTACACGTACCGTATGGTCGACTATTGGACCAGAAAGTCAACCGTGGTCCAGGGGGCTCCATTTGGGCTACAGCGTTGCGTCAGCATATCACGTCGCCATTCGGTGCCTGGGAAAACCGTACCGGGGTTTAAAGATACGGCGGTTTGCCTGCCCCAGCCCCCGCTCCATCACCCCTCCGTTACTTGCTCCTCACCCCGCGTCAATCGCCCCATTTTTTCACCCCAGTAAAGGCTCCAACACCTTGTTTTTC